TGTTTAACTTTAAAAGAACTAGCTTTAACTACTTTTATATTAAAGAATAAATTTGTTTTTTAAAATTTCTAGCTACTATTTTAAATTGATTATTTTATTTTTTAAAGATTTTTATTTTTTCTGAATAGGAATTGCATTTGATTTTTATTTATAAAATCCAACTTTAATAAAATCATATGTTTTTTTTGAAGATAAGAAAATAATATTTTTCCAATATTTCTTACTATAGGATATATCATAATATTTAATAAAAAAAAATATACTCTTTCTATTTGTAAATCAGATAAAGAATCTATATTTTAATTAATTTTACATGTTTTTTGTTAAATCTGCTTTATTTTTATTTAAATTATTTAAATAATTAAAAATTTTATCAATATATAAGTATAATGTGAAACAATTTATTTTAACTTAGAAATTTCATGTAATTTGATCTTTTTATGGGGTTTTAAAAGATTTCTGATATTATTTCATGTAATTTGATCTTTTTATGGGATTTTAAAAGATTTCTGATATTATTTCATCTTTAAATCATTTGAACAAAGTTTTTTTAGAATTTTATATATACACTATATAAATATAAGATTATATATTTATTATATATAAGATATAAATTGAAAATATATGCTTATTTTTGATCTCAAAAAGCAGTAATTTGATTTTAATATTTTAGACTTATTAAAAAACCTGTATTTTATTTTATTTGTATATCTAATTTTAAGCAGATAAATTAGATATATTGCATTTTATAATAAATATTAACTTTGATCAAGATATAAAAGTATTAATATATAGGATAATTTAACTTGATGCAGAGATTTTATGTAATTTAATAGTTTTATAGGATTTGAGAAGGTTTTATATTTCATTTATGAGTTATCTGAACAAGAATTTTCTGATATTTTTATATATATATTAATATAAGAATATATATATAATGAATGAAAAAAATCACTGAAATCATATTTTTACTGATTATAAAATAATGAAATACCTAAATATTATAAATTTTATTATAATGTGATTTGAAATTTAAGTAAAAAGGTTGATTATATTAATTAATATAGTATCTTATTACTATTATCCTTAATTACTCGCTCAATACTAACTAAATTAACATAAATTTGATAATTGATTCCTTTTCATTCTTTCAAAATTATCTCTAATAAACTATTTCAGTAACTAAATATATTTTATTTACCAACTTATTAACTTGTTTTTCTACCTTACTTTTTAAAATAGATCACAAATTTTCGATTAGGTACTATTAGATAATCAGTCTAATGATTTCAAACATTTTTATGTAAGAAGAATATTATTTTTTTAGTTTTGTACTTAGGATCATTATCTTACTGAAAAATTCAGTATCTTTTTATCATAGTATTAATATTATTAAAAAGGTTTTCATTTAAAATTTTAAAATTTACGATAACAAACACCATTTATAATAGTATTAAAAAGAAAAAAACTAATTAAATCTTTTGCTAAAAAAGCATTATAAGCATAAATCTTATATGAATGTTTGATCATAGGTTTTGTGAAAATTATGTGCTAATTTTATAAATACTTTGAAATATTTGAAAAGTAGTTATATTAGAAAAAATGACTTGCTTTTATTTTTGATTTTGATATCTCATTATCTATTTTATATAATGTTGCTTATAAATGATAGTAAGTAATAATATTGTTTTAGAAATTGTATAGTGATATTTAAGATTATAAAGCTTATTAAGAATAGTTCTTAAATTAATATTAAAGTTGAGATAAAGTTGATTTAAAATATTCTTAAGTTCAGAACATGTTAAATATTTATTTTATAAAATGTGATTAAAGTAATGATATTTCTTTGGAAAAAGCTTTTTAATTTATCAGACTGAAGTAAAGGGTTTAAAAAATAATCTATTTTGAGTTTTTTAAATAGTCATATATTATAAAGAGTGGAATATAAGTTATTTATATAAGTTTTAGTCATCAAATATATCATTATTCCATAAAGAGATTATTACTATATGATATTGCTCAAGTATAACATTTACTATAGTTGCTTAAGAATAAAATTTTATAAATCATAATATATATTAAAATAAACATGATAATTATACACAAAAATAGTCATAATATAATTACATGAAATATTTTTATGATTTACTGTATCTTATAAGAAAAATTTAAATTTTATTGTTACATATTTTTTCTGATTACTTTTTTCATCTATTGTATATAGAATATGAATTGAAAATATATTCTATTTTTAGATTTTTATCTTTATATAATAACTCAAAGACATTGATAATTTATTTTTACTATATTTTTGATATTTTCAATATAATTTTGGATATATTTAATATATTTTTTGTAAGTCAGGACTAAATTAAGACTGAATCAAAAGATATTATTCTCTTAGTATAATTAGATATGATAGGAGTGAGAGGATCACATCTATAATATTTCCTTTAGCATTCTATGATTTTTTTAGAGCTATTTTGCTAATTATTAGTAAAAAATAATCGGTTTATAATGCTAGAGATCCTTGCTTATAGAGGCTTGAATCTATTATATAATGCTTATAATTGGCAACACTATAAGCTTAATATTTATTATTGAGTACTTTTGGTTAAAATAAAATAATATTCATATTTTTATTGTAATTATATATTTAAAGATCTTAAAAAGTTGTAATATATGTATTAGATTTTATTAGTCTAATAAAAATTTGTTATATACAGTCAATCAAATTAGAGTTACTAAAATTGATCATCAAATTAATTAACATAGAGTATATTCCTCAAGTTTGTTTCTTCCTAATTTGGGGTATGATGATTCTTTAAATTAGTAAATGATCGATGATTTTCCTAAGAGTTACCCTGACAATGATAGCCAAAACAATTCCAATAAATGCTCTTATTTTGGTGCGATCTGCTTATGAAAAATACTCTCTGATTTTAGTAATCGATTTGGTGTAATTAATCAACCTAGATTTCGATGTATCTATTAAAGTAGCTAATTGAAGGAAAATAGAGACCCACCCCTCAAATCAGACTCATATATATAGAAAAATTTTTTTGTTATTTGTAAATAAAAATGGTTACGTTAACAATATAACAACTTTTGTTTTGTTACGTAAACCGTTTCTGATAAGCTTATTCGATAAATTTTTGTAGGCATGATTTCAAACAATATGAAAGAATTTCTGTTACGTTAGATAATTAATTCTCATTATTATGATTTACGTCGTGATCGTTATATGTTATATACTATTAATTTTTTTTCTATTTAATTTCACTCATTTAGATGTCTCCTTTTTATTCTTTTTTTTTATTATGAATTAAAAAGAATACTATTTTTTTCGATCATTTTGTCGATTTTTATTTAATATATATCTAAAAATATAAAATTTATTAATAAAATACTGTATTTTATCTAAAGCAAAAAAAAGACCGAATTTTTACTTACCTCTTTCTTTAGATAAGTTTATGTTTAATTTTATAATTCTTTAGCTTTTTTTTTACTCTATCAAAAAAGTAAAAAAAATATTAATTGTATAATATTTCTTTTAGCTTTTCGATGATGCGTAGTACCTAAAAAAATAAAAATGATATACCTTCAAACTATATCGAAAGGTCATCACGTAAAGTGTTTCTCTGAGTCGTCGGCTTTTTGTTTAGGTGAATTTTTTTCAATATTCTAATTTTTTATTTTTTTCTAGAAAAAAAATTTATTAAAAAATTTATTATTATTCAAGTTATTCAATTTTACCCTTAAAAAAATAAAAATTTTAGATATACCTTTTCCAAACGGTACTTCAATTTGCCGAAACGCTGCCTCGTTTAGGTAAGTTTGAATTTATTATGATTTTTGTCTTTTTTTTAACTCAGTCGAAATCATTAATTTAATTATTTAATTTTTTTACACTGAAAATAAAAAAAAAACTTTTAGATACCACTTTCTCTGAGGTCTGACTAAATCCTACTCAACGTTTAGGTGATTTTCGGTTTTGATGTTCTAATTTTTTTACATCGAATTTTTTTTTAATTTAATCTTTACCCTCTTCACTCCGGACTGATATCGAGAGGTACTTCATGCTTAGGTGAGTTTTGATTTATCATTTTTTACTCTATCGAAAGTAAAAAAAAATATTAATAAATCTAACTTTCTTTTTTATTTGATCTTTACCTTATTGGCGGACCGTAGTACTAAAATAAAATTAAATACCCGCAGCAACAAATCAAAAATTTTCTTGCGCATTTGTTGATTCTTTTGTTTAGGTATGTTTCAATTTAAATGTTTTATTTTTTCTTTTTATGAAATGAACCATATATAAAAGAATGGGATTAGTTTTGGATCACTTAAAAATATATTACGTTAATATTTAAAAATGTTTGTTGTCTATTAAGATAATAAAAAACTTCACGATTCTAACAAAAACAAATGATGATCATTGATCAACAGATCACGAATCACGGTTTACCAGCATGATGTGTATCACGAGAAGGGGTGGTTCTTTAGGGAGCCCCAGTACTGAATATTTTTATCCATACAGCAGTATATTCATTGCATCATTTTTGGGACTAATTGAAGATCATTCCTAATAAAATTTCAAAAGCCCATAAAAAAGTTAACTATTTTTATACATAGATTGAGCAATGCAATGTTAAAAATATTGCTTGCAGGTAAAATTTCTTGTTAAAAAAAAGAGATTAAAATAGCAGGCATCTTTCTTTATGATAAAGCCGTTAAAAGATTCACGTCCAAGCATATGGCAGTACTAACTCTATTGGGGATGGTTAATGATTGATAATTTTTTTGTGAAATAATCTCATCTAATCTATTGATAGATATATCGTATCACTAATTTATAATTGGTCGAAATTATGCATAATCATCTTACAAAATGAGAACAAAAAGGGGAGAGGAATTTGCTTAAAAAATTATTTCCATTCATTCCAGTTCGTTTTAACACATACATAACAACATTGAATAACATTTATAAATCTCATTTCATGGTTTCAAAAAATAAAATAATTTGCCTCTTTGGTTATGAAAAGACTCAAACTGTTGGGGACTTTTGTTTTCGTGAAATTGGGTCAACAGGGTTTCCTTTAGAAACGCAAATAGAAAAATACTATAGCGTTGGTGAGGTTGCAAAATATGTTTGCGCTGGGTTGATGCTTGCAGTGCAAATTAAGGAAAAATATACCCCTGTGAACACCGACTCGATAGAAATGAAAAGTCTTCATTTAGATGGTTAGTTGAAGACGATTCTATCCGCTTAGTTGAAGCGGATTTTCATGTAAAGGTGTGGTGGAAAATCTGTGAAGGAGAATATGCTGAGGCGTATTCTCACGTTACGGAATGTTATTATTTTCATGATTAAGGTGCGGTGGTATACCGCTGGAGGAGAATACACACATGTAAGAGATTGTTATTATTATGGTAAAAATGTGGTGGAAAACTGGAGAATAATATGCTGAGACGTTGCAGAATGTTATTATTTTCATGATAACGGTGCGGTGGTATACCGCTGGAGGAGAATATGCACATGTAAGAGATTGTTATTTTCATGGTAAAAATGTGGTGGAAAACCGTTGGAGAATATGCTGGAGCGTTACAGAATGTTATTATTTTCATGATAAAGGTGCGGTGGTATACCGCTGGAGGAGAATATGCTCATGTAAGAGATTGTTATTTTCATGGTAAAGGATGTGGTGGGAATGTTTTATGTTTGTTTGGAGACATCAGTTCTATTAAATGAAAAGACAAATATTTATATTTTATTTTTGTTGTATAAGAATCCTTAGACATGGCTTATTTACTAAATTCTTATAAAAAATTTTAATTTTTTTATTATAATAAATATATAGTATTATAGTAATTTATATCTTTAATGTTAATAAATAAAGTTATTTAGAAGCTAAAATTTGTAATTTTAAACGTGAATTTTAAAAATTATAAAATATACATTCTATAACTAATTAAAAAACATTAACGCATCATAATCTTGCAGATGATTAGAGCTTCTAGACTTTTATAGAATTCGGTTTTTATTTATAGGTGGTTTACATAATATTAATATATAAATATAATCTTTTATCTATAGATTAATATGAAAAAAGTTCATATAAAGTAAAATTTATTTTACTATACTTTAGTGATTTCTTTCTACCTTTATCTTAAAATAAAAAAAACTTTCCAATCTAATTAACTCAATTATATAATAATAATAGTGATTATTAATGATTATTGAATAGAATTACTAGTTATCATTTAAACCAATTATTATTGAGACAGTTATAAAAATTTTTAAGGTATAAAGGTAATAAAAATTGAACTTAAGTGTATTAATATTACCGTTCAAAGTCCGAAGCATGGTATGGTATGGTATGGCAGGGTTGGCATTTGGCCATGGCTATTTGGCCATTGGCCGCGGCCAAAATGGCCAAAAATTTTTTCAAGTTTTGGCCAAATATATATTTATATTTACCAATCTGATAATTTTAATTCAAATAAGTTAAATAGCAATAATTTGGTAACCAGTAATTGTAAAAAGATGAAATATAG